ATGGGGAGGGAGATACTCACGTAGCGACAGGGCACTCCTCTTGTGGCCCGGGGTGATGGGTGGCAGCACCACCGGCTTCTTGCCATCGTCCCGAGCAGACAGGGCGAGCATGCGCGCCTGCTGGATGGATGCCGGGTTGGCAATCATCGGGTTGATGGTGTTTTCGGGCGGCGGGGCCGGCGGGGCAGTGGACTGTGCACCCACTTGAGCTTCCAACGCCCGGATCTTGGCTTGAAGTTGGGCAAGCGTTTGATCCAACGGCACTGAGCTACTTGGGTTTACAAAGTTAGGTCCGGTTTGCTGTGTTTGGACCGGCGGGTAGGGGACAGGCGTGTTGCGGTTGCCGAAAGTGAGGCCGAGGTGAGAATGCATGATGAACGGGGAAATGAATGGATAAGTTGGTGATGTGGAATAGAAGGGGTTTTAGTGTAGAATAAGGCTGTAGAATAGCGTAGAGATTAAATCGAGGTAATATGCCTGCGTCTACTGTAGGAACGCTTCGTCGTCGGTGAACGTCGTCGTCGAGGTAATATGCCTGCGTCTACTGTAGGAACGCTTCGTCGTCGGTGAACGTCGTCGTCGAGGTCAGGAAGTCGAACGACGAGAAAACTGCTCGAGCACTGCCGCTCGGCTGGACGCTACTGCCGGCCTCTCTCGGCTTCGCTAGAGCTCGTCTGGCACTGCCACTATTGACCGTGGTCCCGGATCGCCGGCCATCATTGCTTCCTCACTCTTTTGGACGCGCTCAATCGAACGAACAGACGAACGGACGAACGAAATAAGAATTGAGCAGCACTATAACAGGACAACGTGTCGCGCCACACCACGTTACGCTTCGCGAGCAACTCTGCGCGAGCGCGCATCACTAGTATATAAAGTGCCGGGAGACCAGCGTTGACTGTCTAATTAGAACTAACGCTGTAATCAGTCTGATTCTCAGTAATCAGATATAATTCGAACTGAAAACAGGAGATTCTGTCTAATCATCCCGGGGGGTTTTTCCTGATGGAGCCAGACGCGGGCTGATTGCATTCAGACATCTCGACAGTGCGGTAACACTAGTACTTCCCTGGTGGACTGTTCCACCTACACTGATGTATGTATACACCATCAATAACCTGGGAGAGGACAGATGCAAAGTGCCTAAAAACTAAGATGAACGGCAGTGGGAGGAATGTCGAGCAGGAGGGATGGTCTATAGCAGTTTCCGGAGTGGTCCGTGATATCTCGCCGGGAAGTCTAAATGTACCAAATACAGTACCGAAGGTCTCCGAAGCCATCAATCTGACGTACAGAGACTTGCACAAAGTTGTTCAGTTGAGTTTGGTTGAGTGCAAGTTGAGTGGCGATCGCGTGCAGCGTGCCAAATTGTACTTGAGCAAAAATGGACTTCGGACGGGCGCACGACGAGCTAAGTGACGACGAGGAGTGCGTTATTTCAGCATACTGAACGATCCGAATTACTCACCTGTCATACGGTTAAAGGTCCTTTCAATATCCGGGCACCTCCAGTGCAAGCAATGCCTTAGTGGAAGGGCCTTCTGGTGGTCATCAGGACGTTGACTCAGACGACGAGGAATTCGTCTATCCTGGCGTTATCTATCCTCAAGCGGGGCCTAACGGCACAACACAGCAGGCTGCCGCAGATCCTGTCCTTGTGTCAGTACCGCTGCCACCACCTCAGCCTGTCCCTCAGCACGCATCTCCCGCTCAACTAGAAGCTCTCTATGCTGCATCTTCTTCTGGAGATCTTAAGCTGTTGAAGAACTTGTTCCGTAATGCACTGCAATCCGAAAACGTCGAAGCTTTTGCACTTGCCAATGACGCATCATCTCGCACCGGCCTTACTGCCCTGCACGCGGCTGCTAGCAGAGGCTACTTGGATATCATCAAGTGGTGTAAGTTATACACATTTCATCTTTGCTCCTGGTTGTCGATGCTTTTTAGTGATGGAGGATTGCGGTGCTATGCCTGACCTGGAGGATAAAGAAGGGGAGGTCTGTGGATGCCTAGCTTTCTCTTGCGCGTCTGTTCACAGTCTTGTAGACGGCCCTGCACAAAGCCGCGCTCAATGGTCACTTGTCGATCGTCAAATACCTCCTTCCCGACAAGGCAGACGTCCATGCACGAGATGCAGATGGGTGGACGGCCCTGCATAATGCGTGTTCCAAGGTATGACCTCATTGTACCAATCCCCCCCATCAGCTTCTCATGGCGTCCTAAGGGCTATCTGGACATTGTCAGATGGTTATGCGAGAATGCTGGTGCTGCTACGGAGGTCGATGGCGTGCGCGGAGTCGACCTACGGAGTAAGGGTGGCTGGACGCCGCTCAGTACGTTCGTTCGTTCGCATCCACGGCAATTATCGCTGACATATAGGACTGTAGTGAATGCAGCTTCCAAAGGACACTTACCTGTTGTGAATTACTTGCTCAACAAACAGACAGCAAATCCCCTTGTTAGAAATAACTGGGGAGAAACCGCGTATGATGCTGCGGCTGCTGTCTTTGAAGTGTGGATATGCGAGGTGCGAGTTATCCGTAGCACAAGAGCCAACTGTGTCTTATGTTTCATTGCCAAAAGGTCCTGCAGAAAGCCGAGGCCGAGCAATGGAGAGGGACCACTGTTCTTTATGATCCTTTGGCTGTTCACACAACCGTGCCCCTGGTCTTGTATGAGAATCAGAGACTCGACGCCCGTCTGAAGACCCTAGCTGTGTCTGGGGGCCGACCGAGATTCTCTGCCTCAGGTCTGGGGAAGCAGGGCCGTCGTGCACCGTTCGAGCTCAAGTTGCCGAAGCCCGATGATTCTGGTAAAAAGGAAATACCAGCTTGGCGCAGTGATGTCCATTTGCCATTCTTGGAAGAGCCTTTCAAGCTGCCTCCGCCAGTTAAAGAGGATCCGGCGACTCAGGGAGCAGAGAGAAGCCATTTCTGGCTGTAAGGATTATTTCTTAATCACGATCTTTGTTGTCTAACTGGGTTACAGGTCAGATTGGACGCTGGATGTTACACCTCCCGCGGTAGACGCCGATGAAGGATGGCAGTACGCTCGTACTTTCCAGGATCCAGATGATCAGTGGACTGCTGAGGCCCCAGCTCCCTTGGAACGTCTGCTCAACGGTGGCGGAGCCGTTGTTGCCGGGCTGTCGGGGTCTTCGTCGGGCGCCAACGGGACCCGCTCGCGCTCCAGCTCCCAAAGCGCCCAGCCGTGGGTACGCCGTAGGCGCTGGGTCCGTGTGATGCGACGCAGGCTGGATATCCCACCGATTCCTTTCTTGCAGCCGGACGGGAAGATGTACCATATGGCCCCTGATGGCAATTTGATTCCGGTCATGAGCGACAATGACAGCGCATTTGCGGAGGAGGGCGGGCAGGAGCTCAGTGCAATGCCCTCCAGTGGACTTCTAGCGGCTGGGGACTATCTCGCTCGCGCGAGGTATCTGGCGGGCACTGATCACGATGATGCGGGAATAAATAGTACGTCTACTTCGGCGTTGGACGCCAGGAGGGCAATTGCAAAATTGGAGCGGGCGACTACGGAATTGAGACAGGGAATCCTCAGTGCGTGTTGTCAGATTACACAAAGCTATGTTATAAACCTCTTCCATCAGGTGATGTTGATCCTGAGCGGAAGACCCAAGCTGAGATTCTGCTTGACGCGTATACCCGAGAGCTAGAGAGACGACGGCTTCAGGCTGGTGCCCAGGGTCTGGTGATCTCAGGTCCTGGTGCGTAGGAGACTACTATGCTGCCCGTCACGACTGACCTCCTGGTAGATGCCGCACCCTTCGAGGATGACGATGATGATGATGATGAGTTCGTTTATCCTGGTGCATCCCCTGGCCATCAGAGGACTCCCCGTGCATCCTCAATTCGTTCATCCGGCACGGATTATTTCGGCCGTGCCAATGCTTCAAATGCTACCAGGGTGCCTACAGATCTGACGCCGCATTTGTCCCAATCACCCGAGTTCCGTGTACCGACTCACGAAGCCCCTCAAAAAGTAGTGACGCCCAGATGGACGCCACATCAGGTCCATGCTCAATGGGAGAGAGACGCAAGTGTGAACGAGTGCCGCGACTGCCATCGAAGATTCAATTTCATCACACGTAGAGTGCGTGCTATAGTCATTTCTTGTTCATATTGAGTGGCTGAAGCTACTACATTTTGTAGCATGTAAGGCTTTTAATTGCGTTAATGAACTTCTTGCCTGAATATACTGTAGCACTGCCGGAGATGCGGACGTATCTTCTGCGACCGCTGCTCGGCCTATCGTGCGGTGTTAGACCCCTCAGACGTTGTGCATGATCCCGCATTTCCAGAGACGACGTCGTCGGGTTCTTCGCACCGTGTATGCAGGTCATGTTATGAAGAAGTCACCGCCAATGTGCCTAGTCCCCTCCAGACAGGAGGCGGCCGGTCAATGGAGCGCATTGTCGTTGACCAAGCCAGGTTATCGGTTTCACCGGCAGGCAGAAGACGATCCAGCTCCCAGATCAGCGATCTTAATGAGTCAGTACCATCATTCACCTAGTACTGCGACGAAGCTGACCCCGCGCAGATGTCCTGTCTGCGGTCAAAGCTTGGAGGAGTTAGGCCCTAGCGCTGTGCAGGAAGCTCATGTCAAACTCTGCCTAGAAGGTGGCACCGGCGCCTCGCCAACAATGGCGAGATACCTTGTCTACAAGCTTCCGGCAGAAAGTGCCTTGATTGGGGTCGAATGTGAAATCTTTATGTACTCGCATGTTGCATGATCGCTCATAGTCTTTGTTCCCACATGCAGGCGTGATTTGTCTGGAAGAGTTTGTTGTGGGTTCGCAGGTTGCACGTCTTAGCTGCCTATGCAGCTTCCACAACGGTTCGTCCTTTTGTCCTTTTCCCGGTCTTTCTCGTGTTTCACATGTTTTCCTAGCCTGCCTCACTTCTTGGCTGCAAAGAGGACGAAGCTGCCCCGTCCACGCTAGATAAACACACCCTAATTGCACTGCTTTGCTCTGCTGATCGCGCTATCCGAGTCGTCTACGCTGTCCTGGCCTTTAAGCACACCTCATTCTCTACCTAATCTTACATACATTACATATGGAATACAGGTTATGACTAACGTGCGGAAGCTGTAATTGCCCTTGGTCTCCAGTCAGTCGCCCTCATATAATGAATTGTGCGGTATCCTTGAATGATCTATCCGAATGATGTCGTTGTAATCGTCCTCGTCAGGCTCGATAATGTCTTGGCCTTTCCTCCCATCGTCATCCTCATCTACGAACCAGCTTGCGGGATCATCATCGGAATCGTCTTCATCTTCATCATCCTCATCCTCCATGTCAGACTCCGTTGGCTTGTAACTCCTACGTTATATGATGAGAACTCGTGATGTAGCAAAAGGCATCTCGGTCCACTCACAAGAAGGCCCACATCCTGGCGTCCATCTCTGCTCTGGTCAGCACTTCACCCTTAATCGGCAGCCCCTGGCGCATCTTCCTCTCATTGATCTTCTGTTTCTTCATCAGGTCGTGCGCATGGGCCCGCTTCTCGATCTCGACAGCTTCTTGGAAACTCAGGGTGTTGGGGCCTGTAGTGGCGGTCGTCTGCTGGGTCTACAGTGAATATGAGTCAACGTCGTGTGCACGAAACAATTGTCAAACACGCACGAATTTGGCGAGGACTCGTTGTTTCGCTGCAATAGCTCGCGAGAGAGGCGGCTCTTGGGGTTGGTTGACGGTCATACCCTCGCTGATGGAAGTGCTGCTCATTCCCTCTTGGATGCTGTCCATCCCGAGCGCAGTGAGCCGCGCCACAACAGCGGCCTGTTCTTGAGATACTCGCTGGATGTACACAGAAGTGGAAGCTGAACTGAAAAGCCACGGCAACGGAGTTGGTAAGAGTCAGGCGAATAATGACATTCGCTTACGCAGATGAGAGTATCTTCGCGTTCTTCTCTTGTAAATCGCGCAGCTCGCGGACGGACAACTGCTCGATCGGACGCTGCTTTGGCCTAGGCGGAGCGATGAAACCGGGGGGTACGCCCGACTTCTGGCGAGCACGGGTGGGGGACATGGGTCGAGTGGTGGGCGAAGGGGGCATGTTGCTGTTGCCGGCGAACCAATGCTGGCTGGTATTCAAGCTGTAGTGAGCTGAGTTGTGGGTCCGTGTTACGGTTTCAGACCACAATCAGCAGATCTAGGTCCACCAAAAAAGGCAAGTTCGATGGCAACTGCGGTTTCACCAGATCGCACTGTAGCTTGATACTCATAGTACAAACACAAACTACAGAAAGGCTGCTACTACTACGTTATACAACGGGGCGTCCAAATACAGCTTGTTTCAGCTTATAATACATTGCGGTAGTTGCCATCACATAAACATATCACCCTGGCAATAACAGGTCGTTCAGAGCAGCTCGGCAAGCCAGACAGATCCGAAACACTCACAGCACCAGGAGGCATGAACTCGTCATTATCAGGCCCTCTCATGTTGCCTCCTCCAGGCATGCCGCCTATGCCGCCTATACCACCCACGCCGCCCCGTCCTCGCCCAGGCAGAGCAGGTCCGACGGGATCAAATCTCGCACCAGGAGGTGCACCCAAGGGAGGAAGGAACCCGTCGCCACCCCAGGGCCCTTGTGGTTGACCAGCACTTCCAAATCCTCCGCGGCGCCCCCCGAATATCGGGTGGTCGGGGCCTACGTACATTCCATCGCCTGAATTGGGAGGGAAGAGAGGCGGAGGTGCAAAAGGATTCTGAGGGAATGGGTCGAGATCCCGACGGCCGATAGATAACGGGTTCTCGGGAGGTATGTGTGAGTATGGAGAACGAGTCGGTTCGTTGGGCGGTGCCTCGGGTCGTGGACGTGCAGGAGCAGGGTTCGAGTTGGACGCCCGAGGAGCGGATCCCCCGACAGTTGTAGACGCGTCAGCGGTAGCATCCTCGGTATAACCAGGCTTGTTAAGACCTGGCATGAGTTTCTGGATGATTTTCAGCTTGTATTGGGACATCAGGTCCGAGACTCTGTTTGAGGAGATGAAGCCGTGAACAAGAGGCTGGGCATCGGATGCTGTCAGGTCGTGGGGATAGAAAGATTGCGAAACGAAATCGCTGGTTTGAATGTCAAGGGAAGCAGCCTTATCACTCTGAGACGATACATGAATGAGCGCCCCAACTGCATATGCAATTTTTACTCACCTCGATGGCAATTGCATTGATCAGGGTGCGAGGACCTAGCTTGACAATCTTAACGAGGTACTCAAGGCTGCTCTGCTCATGCTTGTATCGAAAAGCGTAGTTCCCGGGACCATGTTTATTCCATTCATCTGGAAGGACATTGTCCAGGATTGACCTTGCCGGCGCGTCTTCATCTACAGCGACAAGACGGAACCCCACCGCGACCATAGCTGTGTGCAACAATGCGACGATGCCATCGTGTGGGGACTTGAGTTTTTTCTCCGCTGGTGGTAGTAAATTGGGAAGTTTTGAAAGGAGAGCAGAGGGGTCTAAAAGGTCAGCGGTCATGGCAATAGTCGAGGTTAGAACGGTATTATGGAGAGCACAAGGCGTACGCAAGTATACTCACAGGAGGGAAGCGCATCATACAGAGCCCGGCTCCGCGGGTCCGAGAGCCCAATGCCACCGCTGCCAAACAACGTCAAACTTGCACTTCTCTCTGCACCTCCATTCGTCTAGCCTTACCTCGAGCCTGCGAGCCGTCGACGACCGCTCCGATGGCACGACGGGATAGATCCTACTCACCAGACGGCGCGAATAAGAGGGTAAGGTCTTCATATCGCTCTTCACCCAGGTCCCCGTCGCCGACCAGGCGCCAAAGACCTAGATACGACGACAGGGATCGGGATAGGGACAGGGATAGGGACTACCGTGACCGCGACCGCGACCGCGACCGGTACCGGGACGATAGATACCGCGACGAGAGGCGGAGAGACACGTACAGGGACGACAGACGTGTTGACCGTAAAGATGAACGCCGGCGCTCCCGCTCCCGCTCGCGTGAGCGGAGAGACAGGGAGCGCGATAGAGAGAAGCCCGCGCCTGCTACTCCCGAGAAGTCCCAGGAGAAGGAAGATAAAGCTCCTGAAGATGGCAAGAAGAAGGATCTGAAGGCCAAACTGGAAGCTTGGAAGAAGCAAAGGGAGGCAACGAAAGCCTTAGACGAGGCGAAGGCGAAAGCTATGGCCTTGGCAGGGAAGTCGGCCCCTCCAGGTGAGCATCTTGCTATCTTAACTGTCACTTCATGATTTCACACCACTTGGTCAATGCCCCATAGCTCCTGCGGCAGCTGCTCCCACAACAGCTGCATCGTCAGGACAACTCAATCGCGCTGCTCTTGGTGGCCTTGGCCTGAAGGGTCTTCCCGTGAAGCCTGATCTTCTAAAGCAAACCAAGGCTTCGACTGCCGCGAAAATGGACGACTCGGTCGAAACGAAGCGCACTCTTGAGAAGCTAGAAGACATGCCAGCGATCGATATGACCATGGTCGAAGGTCAAAGCGGAGTCGGCGATTTGGAAGGCGACGACGATGACGAGGAGGCCAATAGGATGGAGCAAGAGCTGAAAGAGAAGGCCAAGGAGGAGGCCAAGATGGAGGTAGACGAGGACGATGTCGACCCTCTCGACGCCTTCATGAGTAGTGTGAAAGAGGAAGTGAAGAAGGTGAACGAGGAGGACCTGAAGAAGATGGGCGTCAGCGTCGGTAGTCTGCGTGCTCGTCTGGATGACCAGAATGGGGACGAAGGTCCAGATGATATGGGCGAGCTTGCCGCGGACGAACTAGATGTGACAGACCTCAACGCGGAAGATATCTTGGCTTTAGCGGCGAAGAAGGTCAAGAAGAAGGAGCTTGCCACTGTCGACCATTCTCGTATCCGTTACGAGCCTTTCCGCAAGGAATTCTATGTCCCGCCACCTGACATCGCTGAAATGACGGATGAGGAGGCAGATCTGTTGCGACTCGAGCTGGATGGGATCAAAATACGTGGTGTGGACTGCCCGCGGCCTGTTACAAAATGGAGCCACTTCGGCTTGCCTGCTAGCTGGTGCGTACTTGATCATCGGCGACATGGGTGGTGCTAATGATCGTCTTATAGTCTGGAGGTTATCAAAGAGAAGAACTACACTGCCCCTACACCCATTCAAGCTCAAGCTGTTCCTGCAATTATGTCCGGTCGGGATGTCATTGGTGTGGCCAAGACGGGTTCTGGCAAGACTATTGCTTTCCTATTGCCAATGTTCAGACATATCAAGGACCAGCGACCGCTCGAGCAGATGGAAGGCCCTATTGCCGTTATCATGACACCCACTCGCGAGCTCGCTGTACAGATACACAGGGAATGCAAGCCGTTCTTACGGGTTCTCAATCTGCGCGTTAGTCTATCTTATATTGTTATCTTCGATCAACAGCTGATCATTTTTTGCCCGACGTACCGTAGGCTGTTTGCGCTTACGGTGGTTCACCGATCAAAGACCAGATCGCGGACATGAAGAAGGGCGCGGAGATCATAGTATGCACACCAGGCCGGATGATCGACCTCTTAACAGCGAATTCGGGTCGTGTGACTAATCTTAAGCGAGTCACCTACCTGGTGCTGGACGAAGCCGACCGCATGTTTGACATGGGTTTCGAACCTCAAGTCATGAAAATCGTCAACAACATTCGTCCTGACCGTCAGACCGTGTTATTCTCCGCGACATTCCCTAAACAAATGGACTCGCTTGCTCGTAAGATTTTGAAGAAGCCTCTTGAGATCACCGTCGGTGGTCGCTCAGTGGTTGCTCCCGAAATCGAACAAATCGTCGAAGTCCGTCCTGAGGAGACCAAGTTCACTCGGCTTTTGGAAATTCTGGGTCAGATGTATAACGAAGACCCTGAGGCCAGGACCCTGATCTTTGTTGACCGGCAGGAAGCAGCGGACGATCTATTGCGAGAACTCTTACGCAAGGGGTATCTGTGCATGTCGCTGCACGGCGGCAAGGATCAAGTCGACCGAGACCAGACCATCGCTGACTTCAAGTCGGGTGTTGTGCCCATTGTCATCGCTACATCTGTCGCAGCCAGAGGTTTGGACGTGAAGCAACTGAAGCTGGTCATTAACTACGATGCGCCCAACCACATGGAGGACTATGTGCATCGTGCTGGCCGCACAGGACGGGCGGGTAACAAAGGGACATGCGTGACCTTCATAACTCCTGACCAGGAACGATACTCTGTGGACATATACAGGGCGCTGCAAGCCAGTAATGCTGCAGTGCCCAAAGACCTTGAAGAGATGGCGAACGGTCAGTGTCTCTTTCCAGCTTCGGTTTCATTGTACGCTCATGGACTAACGCCCCGCTCTGCAGCTTTCCTCGACAAGGTTAAAGCTGGCAAAGCCCATATCGCCGGATCTGGCTTCGGTGGCAAGGGTCTAGACCGACTGGACAAGGAGCGTGATGCCAAAGAGAAAGCAGAACGTAAGGCCTACGGTGAGGGTGGGGAGGAAGAAAAGGCAGCCACTACCGAGGAAACCGCAACCAAGCCGGGTGACGATATGAACTTCGGCAACTTCAAGGTTGAGGTCAAACGAGGCCCTGCGCCAGATTCTTCTAAAGGCCTGCTTGGCGTGGCAGGTGCCGCTGCTGCTGCCAAGCGGCTCGCGCAGCAGAAGGAGCAAGAGAAACTGCAGAACTCTCTGCGTGCGGCTGAAGAAGCCGTGGCTAGAGCTGGCAAGGACACGCCCGCACACAAACAGGCCATGAGCGTCGTTGCCAAACTGAACGCGCAGCTCAGAGCGCACAAGCTGGTTATGCAGTCACAAATTCCCTTTGACGATTCGGCCAGCCGGAAGGCAGATGCTACTGAGTTCCACGCCATCATACCCATTAACGATTATCCCCAGAAGGCTAGGTGGAAGGTCACGAATAAGGAGACTATGGTTCAGGTAAGTTTTGCAGGTCCCATTCACTCCAGGCAGCACTCAGGAGATCTCGTAGTTAATCGATATGACCGGAGCATCTGTAACTAATAAGGGTAAGTGGGCAATACCCTCCTGATTCACAGGCAATGCTGATTGCGTCACTCAGGTATCTTCTACGAAGCTGGGAAGGAGCCACCGCCAGAGGGCCCGCCGAAGCTACATCTGCTCATCGAGTCAAATGAGGAGTGGAGGGTGCGTCATGTTCCCATCGCGATACATTCATCCGCTGACTAAGTGTGGGCGAATACAATGATAGGTCGAGCAAGCAGTGCGCGAAATCAAACGTCTGCTTCTGGAGGCTTCCGCGGCAGCAATACAAGCCGAGATGCGGAATCCCACTGGCACCATAGGGCGTTACAGTGTTATCTGAAGGGGGATTCATCGGTTTCCGCTGTCCTCACAGGACCTGCCGCTCTCTTGTATGTATTGATAGTTATGCCCACGGGGCTCCGCGGCATCTTTGCAACCCCGCATTACCTCAGGAACTTGCGGGCCGGTAGCCTTGCGTTCATATGTCTGCAAGTAGTTTAAGTGCCCGAGATTGGGTGTACCGCTGTCGAGGCGACAGCTGTTGAGTCAAGGTTGAGTTATACGGTACTACCTACAGTGAGAGTTTGCCACATTCTCCACGCGCCCGTGCGGGACGCCTCAGGCATTTTGTTCATTTACGATGGGAAGTTCATGTGGGTCACAGGCGTGATATGAGTACTGTGCCGAATCCCCGGCACGACCCATGTCCGAGTGTCGCTCACTCGACAGTGTAAGCAGACACAAGTCATAGACTTCGACCAATAAATGGGCCGTCGACTTGATATGGCTCCATTGCTGTTCGTCACCGCCCAAGTCGTCTTGTCAGCGCGCCTCAGCGAGCCCCAGTCCTATGGCTGCTCAGGACCAGCGGCCTAGCACGGCAGCGTCAGCAGCGACGTCCCTAACGCACGTTCATGACCTTCACGACGTTGGCCCAATTCCACAAGATTTGACACAGGGTGAGGGAGAGTCCGCCGTACCCGAAGACAAGAAAGAAGAGGCTCTCGAAAATGTCGAAGATGACTGGCAACACGATCCCATCAACCCTCGGAATTGGTCAAGCAAGAAGAAATGGTTGATGGTATTCTTGGTAAGTCGAGATGCGTAAGACCGACTGCAGCACCTCATGCATCATCCTTGGGCCAGGTATCATTCTACACATTCGTATCCCCTTTGGCCAGTTCCGTGATGGCACCTGGTCTGCCAAAGATCGCGATCCACTATGGTATCACAAATGAGACAATAGTTGCAATGACCCTCAGTGTATTTCTGATCTCGTTCGCGCTGGGGCCGTTGCTTCTAGCACCTCTTTCTGAGATGTACGGGCGGACATGGGTTGGTGACCCAAAATATAACTATCGTGCGTGTGCGCTCACCGCGCTACTCACAACAGGTCCTCCACATCAGTAATCTTGTATTCCTCGGTCTCAATCTGGGATGCGCCTTCAGTCCCACTACGAATTCTCTGATCGCCTTCCGTTTCCTTTGTAAATTCGAGTTTTTGACATATGTACGTGATCCTGACGCTTTTTCATGTAGCAGGATTCGCTGGTGCTGCACCCATTGCATGTGGTGGAGGTTCTATAAGCGATATGTACTCCGAGCGAGAACGTGCGTCCGCTATGGCCGTTTACAACATGGGACCCCTCATTGGTAAGTTCGCGATCCAAACTGACGGCAAGCCCTGAGAGCCCTCGAAGGACGCTGTGATATGGGACCTGCTACGGAATACCATGGTAAAGCTGTCTTGCGCAGCTGAGCTGCTAGTTTCTCTGAATCTCTCTACGCTCTGAGCCGAAAGCCTGTCTGTTAAGATGTGACGCTGATATTCGAGTATCTAGGCCCCGTTATAGGCCCAATCATCGGTGGATACGTTGCCGAAACGATAGGGTTTCGTTATGTATTCATAATCGTCGCCTGTCTTTGCGCGTTTGTCGCTGCGCTGGCTATACCGCTCTTACAAGAGACGTATGCCCCCGTCATACGACTCCGCCTAGCCAAAAAGGCTGGAGATCCCGAGAAAGCTGCTAAACAGCACCCACACCTCCTTCAAGAACACCGGAGCAAACTGCACGTCCTCTGGCTCAACGTTAGCCGGCCGTTTATCCTTCTCGGCACCAGCTTCATTTGCTTCATACTCAGTGCTTACATGGCTTTGTACGCGATTACCATTATCTATATGACCCATTAACTAACGTGACCCTCCATCTACAGGATGTACGGTCGGTATCATACACGAATCCCTGAAGCTACTTAGTACTGAAGTTGTTGCGCATTAGGAATATACTACCTCATGTTTTCCACGTTCCCAGGTGTGTAATCTCCCTCTCGCACAAAATTGTCCACCTCATTTGCATGTCTTAAACCGTCCCTTAGAATTGTTTACCGATGTTTATCACTTCAATCTGGGGTCCACCGGGTTGGCATACATTGGCCTCGGTGTCGGCTTCCTCCTTTCGACAATCCTGGGTGCACGGTGGTCTGATCCTATATACGGCTGGGTAAGCCTGACAACGCAGGGACAGGCGATTATGATTCACATATGCAGTACAGTTCTGCGCTCGAAATGGCGGAGTACAAAAGCCTGAGTACCGGATACCTGCCCTTATATTCGGCTCTCTTTGGGTCCCGATCGGCCTCTTGTACGTTGCGTTTATCCGTTGATATAACAAGAATGCTGATATCTTTCTGTATAGTTGGTACGGGTGGTCCGCTCAAGCCAGACTTCACTGGATGATGCCTATCGTAGGCACGGGCATATTCGGCTTTGGACTGATGGCAACATTGTGAGTTCCGTCAGCATCCACTGCATATTCATTCTGACGGCATGTCAAGCCTCCCCATACAACTGTATCTTGTAGATGCTTTTACTTATGCGGCTAGCGCCATCGCAGCGGCTTCGGTAAGTTCACTGTGGCCCGAGATGAATGCCTTGGCAGAGCTCATTCCTTTCTAGGTATTCAGGTCCATGCTAGGGTTCGCATTTCCTCTTTTCGGTTCGCAGATGTACGCAGCTCTTGGCGTCGGCGGCGGCAACTCTTTGTTGGCAGGGCTTGCGATTATCCTGGGTATCCCAGCGCCTATATTCATTTACTTCTATGGAGAGAAAATTCGGGCTAGAAGTTCCTTGACTCGTTGAAGTCGTGACAACTCATGCTTATTATTGTCGATCTCATAGGAGCACGTTATTATTATCGACATGATAGAAATACACCAGAATTCTTCGAGGATGTATCCTGTCATTTATTGTACTTAGGCGCAAAGCGCATTCTTGCATCTGCAGAGCTTCCCATGGTTCAGTGAAGTCAGACATGCCAATCGCATATACAAGTGCTTGATAATGCAAGGTATAACATGCCGAGAGGTTATGGATAGAACTATCAGTACGCGCTGCGAGCCAACCCGAAGCTCCGTGATTTAGCTCCACCCAGCCCCGTCGCTAAATTCGTTCCAGAATCCTTGATCCTTTGCTCAACTTCGCCCACTTTCGTCTCCAGCTCCCGTACCGAGCCGTCGATCCATTGAAGGCTTTCCAAATGACTACTCAAGATTTCCACGATTTGGGTCATGGGATCTTCACCCTCTTGTTTCGTTGGTTTTCCATCTGGCGTAGTGTCTGACAAGGCATTTACGGCCTCTATCATTTGCGTCAAGGAACTAGAGAGATCGTCCAGGTGGGTGTGTAGCTCGGTTGCGAGCACGTAGCTACCCAAGCATCAGATGAGGCTCAATGCATAAGCACGCAAACTCACTTCTTGTCCCGCTCAGAGTCCGCCGGGCCTGTATCTAAGACCCGCAAGCTACCGTTGTCGCCGCCGAGAATATCTTCCGTGGCCTTCTCATACGAGTCTAGAGCCGCAGACAAGTCCTTCTGCTGCTGCTCTATATGGTCGAGCGCTTGATCAATATTTGTCTGCTCACGCTCAGCGGCAAGAACATGCGAGAATAGTGCGGCAAGCTGGAGTAGATACAGTCAGTATTGTATACGAGATAAAGGAACCAATGCGTACGCTATTGCCATTGTCGATCAATGCACGATCCCAGGCAGCTACCTCGCCAGCGAACTTGTGGAATTCGCGTACATGACCTTCAAGTTCCGAGGACCACCGGTTAACGATCTCTTCTATCGTCTTCCCTCGAAGCATGGAAGGTGGAGGGACGGCGATGGATGTAGAGTTAGAGGTAGAAGGAGGACCCAAGGCACTAGTGGTAAGCGCTGCGGGCAACTGTGTGGTAAGATGAGAGCTCGAAGCTAGCATACTGCAATATCACCTGGCACATCTTTCTTTTCGCCATCCTTATTGGCAGGGGATGTACCTAATGAAAAGGTTAGCCCGAGACTCGCTCAGACGGCGAGGGTTGATACAACATATCACAACGTACCGGAACCGAGTTCCTTTTTCTCGCCGGAGGTGTCCTTTGCAGCAGTGCCGAAGATGTTAATTGACGAGCCAGCTTATATCAAGTTAGATCAACACGACGTGTCATAAGGCAGAGCACACCTGCAGGCGCATCCTTTTTCTCTTCCGGCTTGTCCTTACTAGCTGCAGGAGTTCCGAAGAGTCCACCCGATGAGGCTTCATGAAACGTGTTTAGGAAATAAAGTACAAGGGAATGACCTGCTAAACGCACTGGCAGGGGTATCGCTCTTTCCCGACGTAGTATCTTTACTACCAAGTCCGGAAAACAGGGAAGGGGCCGCTGTCGTACTGGATGTGGTTGTGGTGGTGCCAGTTGCAGGAGTATCGGGTTTTTTCCCAAATAGGCTACCGCCAAGTAGGCCACCGCCAGGAGCAGCAGTACCGGCAGCTGGGGTACTAGCCGTGTTCAAGCTATCCGCAGGTTTGTGCCCAAACAAACTTCCTCCCGGCAACGTTGAGGAAGCTATAGAGATTCTTGAGCAAGCAATCAAGCAGGAGTTCCGGGCTGTGCTTACTCGTTGTTGAGGGAGCGTTTCCGAAGACTAAGCATCACCCAGCGTTAGTAAATGATATAGTAATAATGGAAACTCATACGGCTGGTCGTCGCGGGCTGGGTTGCGGAATTCGCGCTCTGCTCTGCAGGCTTAGGTGCACCACCGAACAGATTCGGCGTGCCTTGCGTCTGAGTTGAAGGCGTGGAACTGGAACTACCGAGGCCACCGAACAATGGATTTGTCACAGAGGATCCAGAGGTGCCACCGAATAGTCCGCTGCCAGGAGCTGACGTGGAATTATTGGTTGTCGCTGATGAGCCTCCTGCGGTGGCGAGAGGAGTCGAGCTTGAGGTGCTGCCAAATAGGCCTCCCGCAGCGGATGGACCGCTCGAGGTGGTTGTGTTGCCAAACAAGCCGCCGCCAGTAGTAGGCTTCGGAGTACTGCTACTGTTTCCGAAGAGGCCTCCACCTGGAGCCGGTGATGAGGAGTTCGCGGTAGTCGAAGAGTTCCCAAATAGACTGCCTCCAGCTGGAGGTGCAGGACTACTGCTAGTCGTATTGCCTCCGGTGCCCGTAGAAAACAATCCTCCGCTAGTGCTAGAGCCCAAGTTGCCAAAGATACTGCCAGCGGGCTTCGCTGACGGAGACGATTAGGAGCACAACGACAAAGTCACTAATAACAGTACGCACATCCTCCGAACAGACTCGGGGCTCCTCCAGTTCCACCGCTTGCAGTATTCCCGAAAAGGCCGCTGCCTGTAGAGGACGCAGTCCCACTCGTACCGGACGTATTCTGGCCGAACGCGCTCATAACTTGGGAGTGACGTGGAAAGACACCAAGTTGAAAGAGGTTGAAGGTCGGTGAGTGAGAGCAGGCGAGAGCTGCCTGAGCGTTTTAACCAATTGTGGCGCGTCGACTGAGACGCGTGTTGCTCGTGACACCAGTAGTGGCAGCAACGCGTAGACGCGTGTAGCGTGTGGCAGGCGCACAAACCTAGTTAACTGACCTCCGGAACTGTACTCGCTTCGGCTAAGCCACCGATTGACCTGTGGGACCACGGATATATCTTCCCCGCTCCAAATCATAGATCGCTACAGCTATTCTACAATACCGCTTGATTCTGACAGTAGACACTAGAGTACAAAGCTGAGACTCAAAACACGCCAACCTTCCCAGTGACGTCCTAGCTTTTCAAAGGAGGGGGAGGGCCTAGCGCGACGTCGAGCCGGGAGGATAACTGCAGTATCTCTTCCTCTAGCGCAGAGATACGAGCTCGTCTGAAGGGGGGTTTCAGCGTACAAATAAGAGTTGGACACGGCGTATCTTACTCTTCACTGGACCGTTCACCGAGCTCGAATGCTTGACTTAGTCCGAGACCTTGATTTTTTTCTGCCTCTCTTCTCTTGCGCTCAGCCTCTCTTCTTTGAAGTTCTTTGAGACTAGGCAATAATCGATCGTATTCACGTTGGAGCTGACAACAGCAGAGTTAGCGTAACGACACACAGAGCTGATGACACCACCCACCATCTTTATACGTTGAGATAATGATTCTTCGTCGTAGCGACTAGCTCCGACGACTTCCTCCTTCATCCTCTTGAGCTCCTCGAACCACTTCCTCTCATGTTGGCTCAGTTCCGGAGAAACTTTCTGCATCATGGCCTGTAGAGTCCTGTCTAGGCGCGTAAACAGTGTCTTCTGTGTAGCCTGAAGTGCCTTCACTTTATCTATCACAGCCGCGTGGCGTGCGCCCTTCAATTTATCGACCAGATTGCCGAGTTCCTGTAACTTCTCTTGCTGCCTTTGGTACTCTTGGATCTGCAGCACATGCCGAGATTCCGCGCACTTTTGAGCAAGTTTTACTTCTCGTATTTGGGCCATAAATCGCTCGACGGTGGTTCCCAGGTATCGCAAGCTATCTGGCGTTATCATGAATTCGGACTTTTGTTCGGACGGTAAAGCCAAATGCGGGCTCGACGGTAGGCCCGAGAAATTGGACAAAACGGAAGGAGGCACAAAAGGCTGTGCACCCAAAAGCGAAACATAGGCGGGAGGTCCTTCAGGAGTTGTAGACCCTGCGGGGTCTTCAGGTCCTTCAATGGCCAGGGGCTTTTCTGTACGTGACGGCGGAGGTGAATCGAGCTCTAGCGCTAATGGGAAGGAGATGATGCGCATAGCGGACGTAAGGATGAATATGCTGTAGGTAAAATAGACGTCGTCGGGGATTACGACAGCGATCACTGGATTCGAAGACCTAGAGAATAAGTTTAGTCAGTAGACTAGTAGCGAGACATTTTATGACATACTTCCGTTCCACCGAGAAGGTTGATAAGATAGGACGGACCAGAGTGGCCTCAGCTTTGCGCAGAGCGGCGTCCAGGGAGTCTGGTGTATCATCGTTATCACGCTGGATTGCTTGTGTGAGGCTCTGAAGCAAAGACCCGAGGTGCAAGGCGTGCAGCCCAAATGCGTGATATACATATACCGCATCTTCATGAATGGGATCCGTCAGTAGGACAGGATGATTAGCCTGCAGTAGCTCCAACGTCGAAGGCTCGCCTTCTTCTTGGGAAATCTTAGAGAGCGCCGACACGAGGCCGAGATCTACTGTCTCGTATACAGCGAGCATAGGTAGATCACGTTCGCCTCTCTGTAAGGCAGTGTGAACACCAAACAAGCCACTAGATCAAGTAACCATACCTGTCTCGTCTCCCATTTGGCTTCAATCTTCTCTACGTCGAGGCAAACGTCTACTCGGCCATCTTGATACGCAATCGTAACGATGCCTAAGCGCTCCGTCTCTCCTTCACCGGAGTCTTCACAAGTCTCGAATGTAAGATATGAAATATCAGTGGCCTGGCCTCCTTCGCTACCCTCCAACTCTCGAGGTGCAGGCTGCATAAGGAAGGGACCTTGACGAACTGGCTTGAACTTGATGGTGTTAGGAGGGTGCATGGGAACGGGTCGAGACTCCGCAGGGAAAGCGGTTCCCGGAGGTAGCTGTTTCAGCAACGCATTGACGTATTTCCGCTGATAGTCATAGACAGCGGAAAATGTTCTTGATTCTGGTGACTCATCCTGAGTGAGGTACTCCTGTTTCGCTGCCACGAAACATTCCAAAGTATGAATGTACGCAGAGGGGATTGTCCTGAGAAATCAGTCAGTGCAGAACAATTGCCGCGCTATCGAGAACTCACGAGTTGATGGGCATGTAAGGCGAGATTGCATAGACATCACCGCTCTTCGTGAGCGCGTAGACTGTTAGTGGACCCCAATCGCCCCTGCCTTTACCCAAAGTAAAGGATGCAACTTCGAACTCAGATTCGTCCTGGGCCATGTATGACTTTCTCCGGTTTTCTGGAACGAAGGACAATACTTGCTGAGGTTCTTCTGGGTCAACCGAAACGTCATACTCCCTAGACGCCATGAGTGAACGAAGCTAGAATTAAATGAGCATAACGTACCTCAGCTTGCCATCAACTGTCATAACTAGCAGGGTAGAACCTGCATCTCCCCAAGGATGCCATTCGATTTTGGCCAGAGGAATAGAGGTACTCGAGGCATGGTAGAATTGTCCCACCTGGATCGATCTACCCATGCGTGTGTCAATAGCAAGATTGAATTAGAAGCTTAAGGTCGCACTTGCAGTCGACGGTAGATGAAACAAGCTTGCTGAAACCAGGCTTAGGTAGGACGACCACTGCAATCTGGTAAGCACCCGCGACGGCGAGTAGCTTACCATTGGGATTGACAGCCACCTGGCGTATCTCGAATTGTATATTCGGCGTGTACAGAGTCTGTTGCAGTGACTTCTGAGCTTCGAGAAGGGACCATAGCATACGACGGCGCACCTTGTAGGACTTCATTGCGGTCGGGTGCAGTTTCGACTCTCCCAAAGACGTGATCCTTATCTCGTCTCCGACAGCCACGATCAAGTCGCTATCCCTAATTGCCATAACTTGCCGTCTTCCTGAGGGTGCATGCGTACCATCTTCACGAGTCGGACGCGTCAAATCGGTAAGAGAAGACGTGGAGAGTTCCAGCATAGACATTCGGTCCTTGGCAGTTGTCTTCGGCTCATCTTTTGGCTCGAAAATTGGATGGTCACTCAAAATGGTCGTCCAGTCTTCGTCGCCGTGCATATTGAGTGGAGAAATAACAGGACGATCTGCAGCGTTGAGTCTGATGTGGCGGAATGGCCACAAGTGAATATGTTCGGAATCGAGAGTGACGCGCCTCGCATATGGAGGTCACGTTTCCTTGATGAGCTGACGCGTTTCGAGCATGCTTGCGCGTACCGCATAGTATACCAGGGTCCTCTCGCCTACGACATATCACTTTCCAGTATTCTGCCATGACGTCCATTGGTACCGGCTATGATCTGTCAGCCAGCACATACTCGCCGGACGGGCGTATCTTCCAGGTTCGCAGTTTCAGGCATTGAACCACGATCGAGACGGTCTAAGCGTGCATTCATTAGGTGGAATACGCGAATAAAGCAGTAGAGAACTCTGGGTGAGTCGTATCGTAACTCAAGGTCACTCTCTCTAACGCGATGATAGGACCATCATCGGTCTACGCGTTAAGGATGGCGTCGTGATCGCGGTGGAGAACTTGGTACATTCCAAGTTATTGATGCCCGGTGCCAACAGGAGAATCCAGACAGCAGACCGACACGTAGGACTGGTAAGTGCTCTATCTAGCTTCTGCATTAGTGGATACTTCAAGTCTTCGAGCCAGGCGTCCGCAGGCTTCCTCGCGGATGGACGTCACATTGCTAACAGAGCACGGGAAGAAGCAGCCAACCACCGAGATACATATCGCACTCCTGTACCATTGAAGGTTCGCAATCTGGGTACGGTCGCCACTGCAGCCGCTAATAATGTTGTAGACTCTCGCCGGTCGGCTAGGATTATATATCCAGGCATACACACTGTACTCATCTGTTAGGCCATTCGGCATCAGTACTGTTGTAGGCGCTGTCGACAAAGATGGTCCTGCATTGTATGTCATAGAACCCAGCGGTGTCTTCTATGCAAGTTTCTCCCTTTGTCAATCTTCCGCACTCGCTGATTCGTACCGCCCCTTCCCTAGGGATACCACGGTGCAGCTATAGGCAAGGGCCGCCAGCTGGCTAAAACCGAGCTGGAAAAACTCAAGCTTGCTGAGTTGTCGACGCGAGAGGCGGTCACGGAAGCGGCTAGAATGTAAGCACCAAACATCATGCACCTCCCACATACCCTTACCATGGTCCCCTACTTCAGCATCTATGCCGTCCACGAAGACTCAAAAGAGAAGGAGTTTGAACTCGAAATGTCATGGATAGGCGACGAAACAGACGGATTATTCGTGCCGGTACCGAAAGATCTACGCGAAGAGGCCGAACGGAAGGCGAAGGAAGCCATTGAGGGGGATTTCGAGTAATCTGCAGTTGTATTACGTTACGCTTCACTTCTCTTTGCCGTCACTTGGACTTTCGGGACTAGACAGCGCATACCATCGCGAGGCACACCAAGAGATGTTACAAGCGACAACTCGATTAAGGGCGAGCCCATGCATCTGCGACTATACAATCTGCTCGAGTTCACGTGCATACGCCAGGTCAGCAAGGATCAGCTTCTCCTTGGGGATCTCCACTCGCTCCTCGCCCTTCTTAGCAAATGTGATCGTGCCGCCAACAACGTCAATCTGCCACTCCCGCTAATCGAAGGCATCAGCGAGAAAAAACGTCCATACAGCGAAGAAAGACTCACCTCCTGTGCAAACTTAACCAGTTCAGATTGACTACTGAAGAAGAGAAGGGTCGCCGCATCCTTGAGAGGAAGAGTTTCATATGCTGTCTCTTCACAACTCGCAATTTCGTTTCTTAAAACGGGTTTCGCTTAATCCGTGAGGGCGACAGCAATTGGTGTGAAGCCTACCTGATAGTACCCATGAGACTGTCCACGAAGAACTTGTATTCTTCTATGGGGGCTTCTTCCCTCGCATGCCAAACTTTGCTATAACTTCCCTCCATAAGCCGACGTTCGAGGTTTACTGGATGGCTAATGTATGGATTGGAGCTGATTTCGTCCGCGGGAAGTGGTAAAGATTCTAATGTGGTATGGAAATCGGCAATGCGGTTCTGAGTGAGCAATCGGATGAGGTTAAGGCCACGAATCGGATATTCGCGCTGTGAAGGCGGGAGTACAGAGCTGAAAGAAGGTTAACGTTGCGATGCAGGAGACGCGGTGGGCATACGCACCTGAAGTCATTGTAGAACGTCTGGAGCTGGGAGAAATATCTGTCGAAAGATGGAACATCTTGTGCGCGAATGCTGCATATTGCACCAATTTCCAGAATGTCGCCTGCAAGACCATCTTAGCCATGCATCCACCGTGCAAGAGTCGCGGGTACTAACGAGCGACCACCAAATCCTCCAGCTTGGAGTTTGGTTGTGGAACCAAAAGACCAGCTTCTATTAGACCGATCTACCCTTGCCGAAGCGAAGCTCAGAGCTGTGGGTTAGACTAAAGCACATTGAAACTAGTACCTTCAGTTTGGCTAGCAACTGTCCACAATTCTGTAGGTTGCATGGACGTGACTCGAATGATCTTTGGAGTTCCTGGTATAGGGCAGGGAGGTGGGACGGTGGGGACATTTCGGATGGCGGCGAGAGTCAAAGATGAGAGTATAAGTGTGTAGTAGAACTTGAAGTGTAAGAGAACAAGCTATTAGCAGACGCGTGTCGGTAGACGCGTCATCTTCAGCCACCGAACCGCGACTTGTACTTATCCTCCGCGTCCCTTTCACTTCCTACTGCCACCATGGACCATATTGACGTGAATATTCAGCAGCTGAAGAGCGGGGAGGTTAACCTGGGTGTAAGTGCGACATTGTGTATTGTTCCGCTACCGATATTCATGGCACGGGTAGACCTCGATCATGGCAGTCCAATTCGATGGAGGAGTTGTGGTCGGCGCAGACAGTCGGACAACTACTGGCAGCTACATTGTAAGTCTAGATATAACAGTCAAAGGTTTCCTCGCTGAACCCTCAAAGGCCAACCGTGTAACAGATAAGTTAACATATGTGCACGATCGCATATACTGCTGCCGATCCGGGTCTGCCGCGGACACCCAGGCCGTCGCGGACATCGTGCATTACTATCTGCAGATGTACACGTATGTCCAGTCGCAGCAGCATCGTGTGTTTCGCGCGAACTGACTACTTGTTATCCAGTCAGACAAGTGGCGAAGCACCTCCAGTGCACACAGCGGCTACTCTGTTCCAGAAGTTATGTTACGAGAACAAGGACGCCTTGAGTGCTGGTATCATTGTTGCTGGATGGGACAAGGAGGTGGGTCCCAGTGTGTACAACATTCCGCTAGGCGGAGGTTTGTTCAGGCAGCCGTGGGCAATCGGCGGTACGTTGTCCAGTAAAACCATCGTTGTATGGACGCTCATAATCATGTAGGCTCTGGATCGACGTACGTCTATGGTTATTGTGATGCTACCTACAAGGAGGGCTGGGGGAGAGATGAAACGGTCAACTTCGTGAAAAACAGTAAGTGCAATTGTTTCCTCGGTCCAAGCATTGCTGACGAGTGGCGGACAGCATTGGCTCTGGCCATGTCTCGAGACGGGTCGTCGGGAGGTGTCATCCGCATGTGTGTAATCACGGAGGATGGGGTCGAGAGACTGTTCGTGCCCGGGGATCAGCTACCCAGATTCTGGGAGGGTAAGGAAGTCTTGGGGTTGCCAGTCTTCAAGGAGAAGGCACATGCGCCCGTGCCCATGGCGGTGGAATCATAAGAGACCACCAAGTGTATGTTAGCCAGATGGATGATTTGATGGTTCTGTTCCTTTGCACCACCGATGACTGATGCTGAGTCATGATGGATCCGTTAGATAATTACAGGCCAGGATCCTCCCAGCCTCCTGCTGTCGGGACCTGAGGATCATCCCATCCAGCGCCTTCCCATATCCTAACTCTCCACAGAGCCGTTGCGAACGGTACGACATCCGCTCGATCCAACGTCGCGGAACTGGAATACACCACAAACGCATGACTTGCCGTTTCCTCCTGTTTTCTTCTGCCGCTATCAAAGTGTTTGAGATTTGAACCTGACTGTTTGCGTTCTTGGTATCGTGCTCGTCGTTCCATTTTCAAAAGGCGCGTCAGAAGAGCATGAAATGCTGTGCGATGAGATCTCTTGGGGAAAAGCGCCACGCCGTTGTACAGGGGAATATTGGCTGCCGGGAGGATATCGCCTATGTCATCACCGACGTGCAGCGCCGTCGACGTTGAATGCAGCACCGATAGAGGCGGTAACTCCCTGCGCGTCCTCGTAGGCAAGTCGTCCGCGAAATCTGTGTGAGGGGAAGAGATCATCGTGGGCTGTGGCCTTGCTTTTATCTGGGGATCTCGATTGACCGGAGGGCACACCACTACAGCAATCGCGGCCCTTTGCGATAAGATGCCAGTCTCTTTGAGTTCCTTCCATTCCGCCCGCGTGAGCTTGCGGATTAGTGGGGAGCTCAGGGACCCACGGGGTATGCATTGGAGTCGATCTCCCAGAATTTCTAGCTCTTGTAAGACTCTCAGTCGCAGCAGATGACCTATTTGTTCAGTCAAGTGCGCGTGCGCATTGGCTTGCGGTGATAGCCTTCTGTACGACCCTGAATGAGGTTAGAAAGGCTGTATGGTGGAAATAGTCCTGCGCAAACCTCTTTCCATGAGTTGTTGTACTGCCGTCTTCCAGCATACCACGTAGCCTCCCGTAGTCGATTTACGAGCCTTGAACCTCGGATGCTCTATGCCGTCCGGAAGTAGAAATTGTTTTGGTCGCAACGAAACTGTCGCTGGTTGCTGCATAACCGCCATGCGGAGCATGAAATCTAGCTGACCATGAGCGTCTGTGATTTAGGGGGGGGGGGGCTATTTCGTCCTTACCGGAAGGCAGACATCTTCCAGTCAACATGCAGACTCTCAGAGGAGACAAGAGCATGCGTACTCGATACCGCGCCGTCGTGTCAAGCGAGGTTTTTACCAAGAGAACGGAGACAACTCACAGTAAGGGCTCGACCACCAAGCTTTCTCCTGCGCAGTCATGTCCCTTGGAACATCGTGTTCTGATCCTCTTGTACTTGCAGGATAGTTTCTAACACGCCCTGAAGCCGCCGGCGGGCGAGGGGGTAGTGATTTGTGGCGAATATATCCTTTAGCATCGACGACTGGATTGACAGTGTCTACAAGGATGGACTGTGAATGATCGTTGGACTCAGCCCTCAAGGACGGAATCGGTTGTAGAAGAGAGGTCTTCCTGCGCCTCCTAGGCAGTAAAAGGGGAGGCTTGGAAAGAGGCTCTGCCTTGGCTTTCTGAAGGCGTTCCAAAAGACGTGGGAGGAGACGCGGCATCCGTTATTGCTGTTCTGAGAAATGTTGGCCGCGCGGGAAAAATGCAACGAAGTGGGCGCGCGCGAGTTCTGTTTGCGCGTTCAGCGGTGTCTGTCACTTTCACTTTGTATCTCGACGAATACATATGCTATTACTACAATACCTATACCGTCGTGATCCTCTCGTCGAGCTCTAGGTGCTGGTCTCAGAATCAACCCAGTCTGACAACTTTCCACTCCGACCTTCCGGACGACCCCTTCTGTGCAACTTTACGCGTTTATCTTGTCAACGGCACCTCCTCTCAACTTCGGACTTCTGCGTACGTCGAGTCTATCCACCAGTGCAGGTGCACAGATTGTATTGGGACTACCTAGCTGCAAAGACCCGAAAGCACACTCAGTCATGCACGGCCAAAAGGTTTCCGAAGATCTCTGCCGTGCGATAATGCGCATGCTACCCCTCCTAAGCCGAGATGACATTGAGGCAGTTTACGGGTGTCAGTAAGCGGCAGATAAGGAGGATAGCCC